TTGGGTATCCTACAAAATTCCAAACAGTGATCATCTTAACAAAAATCGAACTACATTTCTAAAGTTTTGATATAAAAGTTAAGGATTCGTAATGTGGAAGTCCATATGGTTAGAAATACCTTAACCTCCAAGCTACACAACCGGGAGAAACTCAACTATATTTAAATTATAGTATCAAATTGACACTTTCAATAAGACATTCAAGCTTTGGTTAGACTTTAAGATCGATCAAATTCTACATTANAATAGTATATTCAAATTCCCTTCTTTTTCGCATGTGTTCTATAGAATAGAAGCAAGTTTCATATACTAACTTACAACATGTAAAACTATTTGAACACTATCAGTGCGTACAATATAACCATATGCTTAACTCTTGATGCATACCATAGCTCGAGATATGACTGTTGCATCCTTCACTGAGTTTCTTTATCACCAAAAAGAACAAAGTCTTTAGATTTTATCAAGAGATTCGAAATTGGCAAACGAGCTGAAGTCGATATGCATTACGTTGTGCGTCAAATCCGAGAGGATATGTGACTTTGTTTCCTCGGTGAATTGGACACTTTGCGCCAGAAATAGAAACATCACGACACGCTAATCTAAAACACACACCCGTATCCGCTCTGATCTCAGATGTTGTGCCTAATTTGAAAGAAAACATGGCAACAATTAGAAACTTAATAAACGACGAAAAGAATAACATCCTCACAAAAGAAGTTCAACATTCAACAAATCTAGAGTTTTTATATAAAAAAAAACTAAATACCAAACGAATCAAATCAAAAAAAAAAATTTACATGTGAAGTCAAGAAATAACAAAAAACGACCAAACGAACAAAACTGTATATACAAGACTAAACAATAACCAAATCAAACACACAAAGACGATCATACATCAATATACACGATGACATCTGAAAAAAAAAAAGATGAAAGAGCCCAATCCAAATTATACAGTATATATATCAGACACACCATATCAAAATAAGAAATCACAGATGACATTGAATCTTCTAATTTTTTAAATAAAAGGTCAAAGTAAAAAGAGAACCTGCTATAAAAAATAAGAAACATTATACTATATCATTAGGAAAAATCATCATTAAAAATTTACCTTGAGAAACAAACAAACACAATCGTATTACAAACAGACGAAATCTTATCAAAACTTTTAAGAAACATATTTACCCTCAAGAATACTGAACATGAGCAATCATATAATTCCGCGACAAAGGTATATACCTTGAATGTAATGGATGGAGATACGCCTAGAAAAGAAAAACAATAACCGGAAACACATAAGAATCAATCCAAAACCTCATACAAAAGAAAAAGAAGAACTAAATCAGCAGATCTAAAACTTTTAAAAAATTGAAAACACGATATGCAATGGGGTACGTAAGAACACATATATATATACTACACAAAATCTAGGGTTTTACTGATAGGATAAATATGAAAAATTATCATAAATTTAATGATAGTATAGATGTTAAGGAAATATATGTAAAAATGATCTCCAAGTATCTCATACTATATTCTACGATGATAATTATGGCGAAAATAATTACGAAATTATTAAAATAATAGAAACTTTCCATATAAAAATTATTTACTTTATGAACCGGAAATTAGATTTTTTATTAAGCCCAATAATAACTAAACATAAAATAGTGGCCCAACCCAATATAATATTTTATTTTATTTTAAAAAATCATCGATGGCAATGCTTGTAAATAGCGATTTCATTAAGGGTATTTTCGGCAAGGCAAGTCTTAAACTCGCTGTAGAGCCACCACGTAGGAAAAATGACTTCTCTTTTATAAGTATAGATGGTCTTTACTGTCTTATTTTTCTTACATTTTCTTACCTTTTTCATCATACTACACATCCTTTATACATTTTCTCAAATTTGTTTATGTGTCACCACAATAATCACTCTAACCAATTATATTATGAAATGGCTTCAAAAAATATGACACGGCAAATATGAATCGAAACAACAACTTTTATAAAATTTTCTTTAACTATGTTTACATTTCTTTCCATAAATAAAAAAAAATAATATTTTTATACTAATATATAAAAGATATTTACGTTTTTCATTAAAAAAATGTTTAAAAAATATTTTTTGTCCCAAAAAGTTTACGAAAAGTTGCTCACATTAATCTTTTCATATTTCGATGTCGAACTAAATTTTTATTCAAAATTTAATGTGAAAAATGATATTTTTTTAAAAAAGATAATCAAATATGAGATTCAATCTTTAATGAGAAGAATCTCAACCTTTGATAATAGATTGTGCACTCCAATATATTAAATTATTATATATTTTATTTGATACGTTTACGTATATAAAATAATGAAATGGTAGAACTAAACTTCCAAAATTTATATTATTAACAAAAAAAAATTACAACAAAATAGCATTAACAATGTCTCTAATAAAAAAAAAATATATAAATACAAGCCTCTAAATAAAAATAAAAAGGTAAAATTGTAAAAATTGAGAAAAAGTATTTATAAATAAATTATCTGCATGCATGCGGGAGAGTCACCTAGTAGTTGGATTATATGCATTTGAAGGTTCTTTGCTCAAATTTTTTCATTTGCTGAGTTCTTGAGTGAATTCTAGAGGCAAGTTAAGGTCCATGGTCAGGAAATTGGTATGCAAAAGAGGATTAAAGAGTTTTTGTTAGACACCTCAGCCATGAGTAGGAGTTGAGAAGATTAATTTACATTTAATGTTATCTGTTTTTCATTTTCGTTGGATACAAAATGAGAAGAAATCAAAATCCTTTTTTTTAGGGTCACAAAATCAAAAAACTTTAA